AATAGTCAAAAGTGAACAAGCCTTTAATAGTATAAGATGAAAATAGCACAAATACTTACCACAGTAGTAACTGTTAATTACAATTAACAATCTTTCACTTTTTTTGGTCCAAGATAGAGTCTTTATCACATAACAAACTGATACACTGCAAATAAGAACGTGTAGCTCCGTCAGAGGCCTGTGATGATAGAAGGCCTCGGGAGGATGGCACCACAGGTTTACGAGATTTGTAATGACGTCAGCACAAGAGGTGGTTCATCTTACCCGACGGTTCATCTTACCCCAGTTTTCCCCTAATAATTATTAATAATTTGCTGATTTTGATAATAATGATGACTTTTAATAATGATGATTTTAATAACAATAGTGAATTTAATAATAGTACTGATTTTCATAATGATCGTAATAAAAAGGATTTCAATAACATTGAGGATTTTAATAATAATAATTTTAATATTAACGATTTAAAAAATATGATTTGAATAGTAATGATGGTTTTAATAATGAAAATTTCTAATAATGATGATTTTAATCATTATGATGATTTAATGATATTAATGAATTTAATAACATGGATTTTAGTAAAAATCATTATTTTAGTAATAATTATGATTTTAGTAAAAAACATAGATTTTAGTAAAAATCATTATTTCAGTAAAAATCATGATTTTAGTAAATTCATGATTTTAGTAAAAAAATGATTTTAGTAATAATCGTGATTATAGTAAAAGTCATGATTTAATTAAATTCATGATTTTAGTAAAAATCATGATTTTAGTAAAAGTCACGATTTTAGTAAAAATCATGATTTAGTAATAATAGTGATAATTATAATGATAAAACTAATTAATTAAATATTACTGATATTATAAGTAATAAGATCAACTTGTTTTCATAAAGTTTGTAGAATGATTTGGAACATCAAGAGTTATTTTTTTCTTTTTTGCGTAAACTTTACCAAATACTTATAATAGTTCATACGCATGAAGAATTTCTATATGATCTAAATTCCCATATTGTCTATCATGTAACAAGACAGGACATAGTCATTTATATTCAAGTCATTTATAAGACAGGACATAGTCATTTATACATTTATATATATGTACATATTTATACATATATATATAGTATCTATAATCATATGTATAATTACATATTTATATATATATATATATAGAGACATATGTATACTTATATATTTATACATATATTTATATACATACAAATACATACAGACATACACGAATATATATAGAGCTATATATGTATATATAAATTATATATATCTACTTATATATATATATATATATATAAACATTATAGGTCTATAAATATAAACACTTTAGGTCTATAAATATGAACACTAGTATAGGTCTATAAATATATTAAACACTATAGGTTGATTAATATATTAGACACTATAGGTCTATAAATATAAACACTAAAGGTCTATAAATATAAACACTATAGGTTTATAAATATATTAAACACTGGTACAGGTCTACAAATGTATTTTCAAAAGGAAATACACCATGCCCTCTGGCAAAGACCAAAGAGCAACATAGAAATGTTAACACACAGATCGGTGAAATTATTCCTTGCACTTAACAAAAAGAAAATGTGCCTAAATGACACGCATGTTAATAATGAAGGGGACTTCCCTCTAATAAATCGGGAAAATTAAATCAATATATGGTTTATTAATGTAATATTTTGATGTAAATCATTAAGAATGTTGATTGAAAAATGTGGTCATCAGAAAAAGATCGGAAACATTTAAGACCCACAAATGCTTAAGTATAACGTATCAATGTATACCAATCATTGTATTAATCATCAAATAATCATATTGGAAACTTTGTATATGATCCACATTAGAGTAGCAGCTGAACCATAATCCAAAATGCCGCAAGACCGTGCGTCTCACCTCCAAGTTCCAGTTCGAGACCACTGGCTCAGCATTATTTACATCTGGCAACTATATCTCGTTATTGTACTATATAATTCCTTAGTATTTTAGATCATAATATTTATCAATAATAATTATTACAAACTTGAAAAAACTCAAAAATTAATTTATGTGAGGGAATTCAATTATAAAACTACTTTATTTAATATATATTCATACACACACATAGACATACATACACATACATATATATGCATATACTCTCAACCACACACATACATATTTATATAATTAGTAACAGCAGACATGAGTTTACTTGAACAAAAAAAAATCCATGGACACTTAAATACACGTCATAACACATGAAAGCTCATTATGCCGGACAAGAATTACACACCACGTGCACAACATAAATCGGAAAATGATATCCACCAAAATTTCGGGCAATTCTTCCCCAAAAATGTTAAGGGAAAGAGTGCTCCTCTTAGATAAAACATCATGCTCTTCGATGCAGTTCGCGTTGCCCACGAGATGTCTTCTCTGAGTGAAAGCATGTCTCTAAACCTCAGAGATATAAGGTCAAGCGAATATCTGTATGGTTCTGGTTTGTGTGTATTCACCAGTATGACCCACTACATTATACTCTGAGAAAACAAATTCTCAACCTTATCTCTTCTCACCTTCTGTAACAAGGCCTTTGTTTCAAACCTCGCAGAGATGAGCCTTTTCCTTTATTTGTACTACTGTACATCGGTAGGGATTCACCTTTGCATGTACTCTCAACTGGTTCAACAGATTAGCTTTTTATTTTTCCCTGTTGCAAATATCACGTCCTTTTGGCTCCTCTTTTGGGCGTTCTCTCATACTTGGCACCAGGTAACAGTTTCGTGAAAAGATTTTGCATTAGGTAACAGTTTTGTATAAAGATTTTGCATTAGGTAACAGTTTCATGAAAAGCTTCATAGCCTTACGGCTTCTCTTTTGTGTGTACTCTCATGTGGATAACTAGATTAGATTTATGTGAGAAGGCCTTGTTGCAAACCTCATAGCTGTATGGCTTCTCTTTTGTATGTACTCTCATATGTGTTGCCAGGTGACCTTTTTCTGGGAAGACCTTGCTGCAGTTCTCGCAGCTGTATGGCTTCTCCCTTGTATGTACTTTGATATGCCTTGCTAGAACGTTTTTGGAAGGGAAAGCCTTAAGGCAAATTTCACAGTTGAATGGCTTCTCCTTTGCGTGCACACTCATATGCCTAATTAGACTATCTCTGTGTGTGTGTGTGTGTGTATGAGTGTGTGAGTGTGTGTGTACATATGTATATATATCTATATGTATATATATATGTATATATATATGTGTGTGTGTGTGTGTATAGATATAGATATATACATACATATGTATCTCTCTCTTTATATATATATATATATATATATATGCATACACACACACACACACATATATATATATATATATATATACATATATATGTATATATATATATATATATACATATATATATATATGTATGTATGTACATATGTATGTGTATGTGTATGAGTGCATATATATAATTTTTGGTATATATTTATTCATGTGTATATATATATATATATATTCATGTATATAAAGATTTATCTATGCACTCACACAGATATATATATATACCGTTTCTCGTTTCTCGTTTCTCGTTACTTATATAGAACTCGTTTTCGCAGTTCAGTTATTACATCACAATTATTATTTACTTGTATTCTAAGTATCAGCATTTTTACAATATTTTCTAATATGAATAATATTAGCATTATTATTGTTATTACTGATATAATTTTATGTATAATAATTCACAATTTGTTATTTCTGGTTTTATCACTATTGTGATAAAACTCACAATTTCCATTAACATTTCTTATTGTTAATATTGCTATCAGTGTTGTTACCCTTGATTTTTAACAATTTCACATAGATAAGTAGATAGAAGAGTGTTTGCTTTACATACATATATGTATATCATAATTATTCATTACGTTTTTGCTGTAAGTAATCATGCAGGGATACGTTATGGAATGAATTGTCTTTTCATTATAATTATCGTTACTGTTATAATAAGTAATATAAATTCGTTCATGATCATATTCATTATCAACATTATTATATAGATTTTTACTTGGCATACGTTCCATTCACAGGATGACGATGAGTATCCTCGCCGACTGGATGCCTTTGGCCCCACTCATGGACGAGGAAATTTATGGCACAGGAGTCAGTATCAAAGAAGAGCTCAGCGAAGATATTTCCGAGGATACTTGTATTGAAATTAAAGAAGAACCGTTTGATTATGCAGATAAAGAGAGGGATGAGGTGAACGACGAGAAAGTGAAACCTAAATGTCTCTTCTTTCATAATCTCGATGAATTAAAACATAAATCAAATGCGAAGAACACGTGTAAGTTGGATGAGGATCGTAATGGCGTGTTGTTAAGAGCGCCATTTGTGGCTGAGAATTCTCTGAATAAGATTTCATCAGATTGCGATCAGGCGATACACATTGAAAGTCTTAAGCAGGATACACAGCCAAAAGTGGAAGCTACATTGAAACGTTTTGCATGTAAAGTATATGGCAAGAAATTCTCTCAAAAAAGAAATATCAACATTAACAGGAGAGTTCACACAAAGGAGAAGCCGTTCAGCTGTGAGATTTGCAGCAAGGCCTTCTCTCAGAAAGGTACTCTAGTAAAGCACATGAGAGTACATACAAAGGAGAAGCCATTCAGCTGTGAGATTTGCAGCAAGGCCTTCTCTGAGAAAGGTACTCTAGTAAGGCACATGAGAGTACATACAAAGGAGAAGCCATTCAGCTGTGATATTTGCAGCAAGGCCTTCTCTCAGAAAGGTACTCTAGTAAAGCACTTGAAAGTACATGCAAAGGAGAAGCCATTCAGCTGTGAGATTTGCAGCAAGGCCTTCTCTCAGAAAGGTACTCTAGTAGAGCACATGAGAGTACATACAAAGGAGAAGCCATTCAGCTGCGAGATTTGCAGCAAGGCCTTCCTTAAGAAAAATACTTTAATAAGGCACATGAGAGTACAT